AAGTGCTGCCCGGCGTCCTTGCCCTTCGTCTGGGCTCCGGGACACCGGTGGAAGGCACGGCGTGTCGCTGCCCTGCTCTGCTCGAATCATGCAGGGGGCCCCGAAGGAAGAGAAGGCAACTGACCGGCCCACGCCGACCGTGGTCGAGGGGCACCCTGCTCTCTGAAACGCCCGCCCCCCACCTGCTGCCATGTGTCGCCGCCACAGGTGCCTAGCTTGTCGTTAAACTTTTCCAGCTCTGGCCGGATTCGGAGTCTCGGGACGGAGGAGCCCGGCTGGTTGCAGACATCTGCCTCCCAGCAGGACCCTCAGAGGTGAGAGCCCGCGTCTTCCCCTAATCCCAGTTCTCCCGGTTCCTCTGCCCCTTTCTCGGGGACTGAGCTCTCTGGCCCCAGGCACAGCCTGCAGGGCCGGGCCAGGAAAGCAAGGCGGGAGCGGGGAGTGGGGTGCGGGGAGTCTGAAGTTTGATTCCAGGAGGTGGAAGGGAGGAAAGGAGTTAATCTAGAGATTGGAGACCGTGTACGGAGACCGAGTGGTTGGCGCTCCTCTAAGAGGAGTGGTTGCGATTTTTCTTCTCCCCTGCCTTCTCTTTTAAGAGTTGTGTCCTTGGAATCGGAGCCCTAATCGTCTCTCTAGCTAGCCCTATCTGGCGTGGAGCGCTGCCGGCGGAGGCAGCGCCTTCCCGAGGCAGTTTATCTTTGGACGGATTTCTTTAAGAGAAAAAGAAACCAACAGGTTGCCAGCCCGAGCGTCACACTCAAGATTCCGGAGAGGGAGAAGCCGGGGCAGCGGATTCGTCGGTCAGCGCCGACCCTTGCGGGCAAGGGGAAGAAGGGGGCGATGGCTCGACCCGACCCGTCCGCTCCGCCCTCACTGCTGCTGCTGCTACTAGCGCAGCTGGTGGGCCGGGCAGCGGCCGCCTCCAAGGCCCCGGTGTGCCAGGAAATCACGGTGCCCATGTGCCGAGGCATCGGCTACAACCTGACGCACATGCCCAACCAGTTTAACCACGACACGCAGGACGAGGCAGGCCTGGAGGTGCACCAATTCTGGCCGCTGGTGGAGATCCACTGCTCACCGGACCTGCGCTTCTTCCTGTGCTCCATGTACACACCCATCTGCTTGCCGGACTACCACAAGCCGCTGCCACCCTGCCGCTCCGTGTGCGAGCGCGCCAAGGCCGGCTGCTCGCCTCTCATGCGCCAGTACGGCTTCGCCTGGCCGGAGCGCATGAGCTGCGACCGCCTCCCTGTGCTGGGCGGTGACGCCGAGGTTCTGTGCATGGATTATAACCGAAGCGAAGCCACCACTGCGTCCCCCAAGTCCTTCCCTGCCAAGCCCACCCTCCCAGGCCCACCAGGGGCGCCATCTTCCGGGGGCGAGTGCCCCTCGGGAGGTCAATCTGTGTGCACGTGCCGTGAGCCCTTCGTGCCTATCCTGAAGGAGTCACACCCTCTCTACAACAAGGTGCGCACCGGCCAGGTGCCCAACTGTGCAGTGCCCTGCTACCAGCCGTCCTTCAGCCCCGATGAGCGCACGTTCGCCACCTTCTGGATTGGCCTGTGGTCTGTACTGTGCTTTATCTCCACATCCACCACCGTTGCCACCTTCCTCATCGACATGGAACGATTCCGCTACCCTGAGCGCCCCATCATCTTCTTGTCTGCCTGCTACCTGTGTGTGTCGTTGGGATTCCTGGTGCGCCTGGTCGTGGGCCATGCCAGCGTCGCCTGCAGCCGCGAGCACAGCCACATCCACTATGAGACTACTGGCCCTGCGCTGTGCACGGTCGTCTTCCTCCTAGTCTACTTCTTTGGCATGGCCAGCTCCATCTGGTGGGTCATCCTGTCGCTCACCTGGTTCTTGGCGGCTGGCATGAAGTGGGGCAACGAAGCCATCGCAGGCTATGCCCAGTACTTCCATCTTGCTGCCTGGCTCATCCCCAGCGTTAAGTCCATTACAGCGCTGGCACTAAGCTCTGTGGACGGGGACCCAGTGGCTGGCATCTGCTATGTGGGCAACCAAAATCTGAACTCGCTGCGTGGCTTCGTCTTGGGCCCACTGGTGCTCTACCTACTGGTGGGTACGCTCTTCCTTCTGGCGGGCTTCGTGTCGCTCTTCCGCATCCGGAGTGTCATTAAGCAGGGTGGCACTAAGACAGACAAGCTGGAGAAGCTCATGATCCGCATTGGCATCTTCACTCTGCTCTACACGGTGCCAGCCAGCATTGTGGTTGCCTGCTACCTGTATGAGCAGCACTACCGAGAGAGCTGGGAGGCGGCCCTCACCTGCGCGTGTCCAG